TATAGATACTGTATCGATATAAATATCTATATCAATCTATATCTACATGTACATCTCTCTCTCTCTCTCTCTCTCTCTCTCTCTCTCTGTATATATATATATATATATATATATACACACACACACACACACACACACACACAACACACACACACACACACACACACACACACACACACCCGAGTTTAACTCGACCACTGGTGTTTAAACGTTAAATACAAAAATTATACTTTGTTAAAGAAAACCGAATACGTATTTTTAACTTGTGCTGTACTGTAGCTTCATATCTGATTAAGGAGCACCTACTTCAGATCAGAAGTCTGGAGGAACAACTGGAGGACTCCATTCAGACAAACGATCGCCTCAGGCAGCAGCTGGAGGACAAACTGGCTCCTATTGCTACTGAGAGAGGTTTTGCAACTAATTACACGTTTTGTAAACTAAATAATAATATAAAATTATTTTATTATTTTAACTGAGGTATGCCCAGTCGTCTCATTTTGCACCACAAATGAATACACTTAAAAATGAATAGATTGTTGCTTTTGGGAAAGACAGGGCAGATTAAAAAAAGCATAGAATGTATGCAATCATTCCTGAATCATCCTATTCAAGCAGGATTTTAAATTACATGCACAGCCAGATATAAAAATACCAGAGATAAAAATTAAAAAAAATCAAAAATACATTGTCTTTCCCTATCGGCCTCTCCAGGTGCGCCAACCAACATAAGCCTTGACTCAGTTGATAAGCTTTCCAATGACGTTAGGATTCAGGATGAAGAGAACAGCAGTCCGCAAAGAAAACATTTGGACACCAATAAAGGTACAGTATACATTGATGCCTCACTTATCGAAACCCGCGAAAGATGAAAATCCACGAAATTGGGTTTGCCCACCACCCCCCGCACCCCCAAGAATTTTTGTGTAAGGGTTTGTGGGTACCACCAGCATGTTTAAAATATGTAAACAGTATTTGTACTTTACATATTTGAGACAAATACTATAGAAGTACTCATTTGTACTTAAATCTTTAATTATAAAACCTTATACAGTAATTAACATTCATCAGCATTGCCTTTATGCAGCTCTGGAAGTGAGCCTCAATTAGCCTCCAGAGAGCTGCTGGCCAGCCATCCCGCGGCGCGCAGTCGATGTGTTTATGATTAGATGATTAATAAATTAAATTGCCATTGATAAATTGCGCTTTTTTTTTTCCTTAGGTTGTCTCTGTGTGATATTAAAATTGGTTTGATGAACTGAAACCTTTGTGTGGGTCGACAAAGAACACATAAATCAAGAAGGGGGCAAATACTTTTTCACAGTACTGTACTGCCTATTCTAAAATAAAGTGCCTCAGTAAAATTTAAGTGCCTCACTCTCATACTTGAAACTCACGGTACCGCAATACCCGAACACACAGTTACTTTTCCTGTCTGGAAATATTGACTTGACCAAAAAAAACCAAAAACCAAAACAAAACAAAACAAACAAAAAAGGTCATGTGAGAATAATGCATTCCTTCGTCACTAGTTATTGAGCAGCATGTTACTGGCTACAGTACTGATTATCCAGTAACCAACTCTCTATATGTTTATAGAATGGGCTGAGAGTTGTGAGTTCAGTTATTGATTCCATGAATGGGCTGATCTATCAGAGACTCTTTTAAAATGGAACAATGATGTGGTTGCCTTAATCAACTTAAAATAGGGTCAATGTAAAGAAACATTTGCTCCCACTCAAGCTTCTTATATTTCTTTATGACAATAGTGGTACGTTTTTGGTTTGACGCCAACTCCTGACCTAGCTCCAGAGGCGAGCCCAGTGACCCACGCCCTGAGGGGAAACTTGTTCAGTTCGTGGTCATTCTCCTCAGGTTTATTTATTTATTTTTTTAACCATGCTTTGTCTGGTCCATCACCTTGGACCTTTTTGCCCTGAGTGAACCTGCAAGGGTCATAAAGCCCCAGACAACTTCGTGCCTCTGGTCTTTGGGACACACAAACCCCCACAACACAATAAGGTAACAACAGCTCAGGGAGGATTCTTACATCCTTGGATAGCGCAATGAGCAAACCAGAATATTAATTCAGTGAGCACATTCTTAATTGTGGCTTGACATTGAAAGTTAGTGTATCCATAATTGTGAGAATTTGTTGTTTTAGGCTTTTTATACTTTTTCAGTTAGACACTCCTGAAAAGACACACACACACACACACACACACACACACACAACCAACATGTCCTCCTTGGTGAAAATTATTTTGTTTTTTTAGATTTTGATTAAAATAATGAAGAGATTCTATAGTATATGAACTCTGTTTTGTTTATCTCTCTTCAAGTGGTGGAGCAGATGCAAGAGGTTGGACTCCTTGACCAAAATCAACGGAAAGAGACGGAGTTAGAAGTATTGAAATGGATGGAGCACAGCAGGAATTTTCAAACTCAGGCTGAAGCTCTAAACAAGGAGATCACAGAATTAAAACAAGTAAGACTGAGGAACCAAGACACCATCAACAGGTTTGAGTCTTTTTTTTTTCTTTGTCACCTAAGCTTTTACATATTTTAGATTACGTCTATACATTCATGCAAGGACAAGTACGAAGCAGTGACTCCATTTTCTTTTTATACATCCAAAAATACAAAAGAATAAATCAAGTTGCTACATGCAATGTGAATGCAAGAGGACCCCAAGATTCATGTGTTTTGTGGACTTAGAGAAGGCGTTTGACCGTGTCCCTCAGGGAGTTCTGTGGGGGGTGCTTCGGGAGTATGGGGTACCGAGCCCCCTGATACGGGCTGTTCGGTCCCTATACTGCCGATGTCAGAGTTTGGTTCGCATTGCCGGCAAGAAGTCAGAATTGTTTCCAGTGAGGGTAGGACTCCGCCAAGGCCGCCCTTTGTCGCCGATTCTGTTCATAACCTTTATGGACAGAATTTCTAGGCGCAGCCGAAGCCTTGAGGGGGTCTGTTTTGGTGGCCTCAGTATTGCATCTCTGCTTTTTGCAGATGATGTGCTACTGTTGGCTCCTTCAAGCAGGGCTCTCCAACTCTTACCGGAGCGTTTCGCAGTCGAGTGTGAAGCGGTTGGGATGAGGATCAGCACCTCCAAATCTGAAACAATGGTCCTCAGTCGGAAAAGGGTGGAGTGCCCTCTCTGGGTCGGGGAGGGAATCTTGCCCCAAGTGGAGGAGTTTAAGTATCTCGGGGTCTTGTTCATGAGTGAGGGCAGGAGGGAGAGAGAGATCGACAGGAGGATCGGTGCAGCGTCTGCTGTGATGCAGACGTTGTATCGGTCTGTCGTGGTAAAGAAGGAGCTGAGCGAAAGGGCGAAGCTCTCAATTTACCGGTCGATCTACGTCCCAACTCTCATCTATGGTCACGAGCTATGGGTCATGATGGAAAGAACGAGATCCCGGATGCAAGCGGCCAAAATGAGTTTTCTCCGTAGGGTCTCTCCCTTAGAGATAAGGTGAGAAGCTCGGTCATCCGGGAGGGGCTCAGAGTCGAGCCGCTTCTCCTCCACATCGAGAGGAGCTAGATAAGGTGGCTTGGGCATCTGATTAGGATGCCTCCTGGAGGCCTCCCTGATGACGTTTTCCAGGCATGTCCCACTGGCAAGAGACCCCGAGGACGACCCAGGACACACTGGAGAGACTATGTCACCCAGCTGGACTGGGAACGCCTCGGGATCTGCCGGGAATAGCTGGAAGAAGTGGCCGGGGAGAGGGAAGTCTGGGCTTCCCTACTAAAGCTGCTGCCCCCGCGACCCGACCCCGGATAAGCGGTGGAAAATGGGTGGATGGATGGATGGATGGATGGATGGACATTTAAGGACATCCATCAGTTAGCATTGGTTCATATCATATCTACAAATGTTCTTAAGTCAGATGTTTGTAACTCGGGGGGCCTCCTGCACTGTACAACATAAACTTCCATCTTAATGTGTCACCATTTATTTGTCTGTATCCCCAATGTATTTCTTTCACATTTGAATGTGACTGCATTAAAGTCAAATATTCCTTTCAAGGAAATGAACTAATACACATTAATTGAGACTCAAACTTGTTTTTGCCCACATTGGTCTTTAACATTTGGAATTCAGTCATCAAATGATGTTCATGTCATATTGATGACATGAACATCAATATGACATGGTTGAGTGTCATTTTGGTTTTCAGGTCAAAATTGTGAGCAGGGCAATGTGTTACTTAAACTCTAGTCACCACAAGCAAGAACATGGCAGACGTAGATGTGATGCTAACAGCAATAATTGGATTGACAGGCTGAAGCACGAAGTGAGCATTCTTCAGCAACAATTGTGTGAGAGTCGCAGTCTGGGTTGCTCTCTTCAGTGTGAACTGCTGGAGTACCACAGAGGCGCTATCAAGGAAACACACGCAGGTAACTAACTGTCAAGTTGGACTTCATAATTTACACATAAGTAAATCACTTGGGTTGGAAAGAAAAAAAAAACCCAAAATGTTCACGTGATCTACAGGACTTTGACTGAGAGCCATAATTTGACTGCTCAAAATGAATGTTTGTCCCATTTCAATCAAGTCTCAAAACTATCAAACATAACCAAGAGCTAATGTTTTAAGTTGTCTTTCGACCTATGCAAGCAACCTTGATTGAGCCAAGGCTCATATTTTACATAAGAAAACCCTCACAGAGTACCACCAAACAAAAATGTCACAGTATATACAGAGGAACTTTTGTTCATGAACTTAAGTAGGCTGCACAACAAGAGGGAATCAAAATCTGCACTTCCCTCATGTGAAACGGCAATATGAAGAGAGCTTTGAATAGTGTCAGAGATTTTCTCGGACAAAGTTAAAGAAACGACTCGGCACACAGGAAAATTGTCTTCAATATCCACGGAAGCGGATCTCTGAGAGCGAACGACGGTTTAGTTGCTCCGTGATCACGCTCAGAGCCCCCCCTCCTCGAGTTCGAACATTTATTTGTGACATATGCAAAATATAAGAAAAACATTGCCCCCGATATTTGCATACCGTACCCCTGGTCCGGCCCCTCGGTAGTGATTGGTTACCTGGGTATGAGCTTTGAACCACCGGCACGTTGGCGCCTTTCGGTCTGGTCTACACTGTATCAACATATCGCGGACTTTGCGGATGACAAATGTCGCCTGGGCGCGACGGGTGTTCTCAAATCGTCTTTTGTTGTTCGACCGCTGTTCCCAAATCACTCGCTCCCCCTTTGTGACCGGATCTGATCTCCTCTGATTGCCCACCCGCTTTGATGTGTTGATTGTGGTGTGGGCTGCAACAGCCCCCAGCCCAAATGGCCGGCACCTTCTGAAAAGGAATTTGGGGGTGCTGATAACGCACCCAGATGCTTCGACGTGCCCAGATCAATTGAGACTTTAAACATGATACAATTTCGCCCATAGATTCCTCTAACAAATAGCTACGAGGGTCAGTTGCCGACTGAAATTTATTTGCAATTGCCCAGTTACGTCTCGTTCAACCGTGTCACTCGGTGTGAAATTAGTTTTAATTGGAATTGGATGATTTCCTGCAACACACCTGATAATCTTTCATAGCACACTTATTTATGTGCTGTGGCACACTGGTAAAGAATAACTGCTTTTGACTGCCCCTCAGTAGCTGTCGTGCTAAATGATGCAGGTGCTCAAGTTTGCTCACTTCAGTTGTAATTTTCCTTCAACTGAGCAAGACCATTTTCATGCCAGAAATTAATGTGATTGTTGAATGAATGGTCACAATCTGTTAAGCCTTTGTTTTGTCTCCAATAAAATGGATGGCAACACTGAATGTTGATATTCGGAAACAATCTCTGGCCAAGACATTTACTTGTTTTTATTTCCTGACTAGGTCAAGTGAGTGACAATGGACATGATGCTCTGACACTTGACTCCCGAGAACTCTACAGTCAGCTGGAAAAGAAGCTGAATGGAGAGACAGACACAAAGGCACCAGCAAAAAGGAATTCATTCAGTGGTGAGTATGTTAACCCAGGGGTCCCCAACTGCCGGTCCGCAGACCGGTACCGGTCCGCAGGGCATTTGGTACCGGGCCGCACAGAAAGAACTTGCCTTAATTCCGTTTTATTTATTTCGGAAGACGAAAGATGTTTTATTTTGAAAAATTACCGGATTCTCCGTTACATCCGTCTATGTCACGCTTGACACACGTCAAGCCACACTTCTCCGTCACGTGACCGATTACGCTAAAAACAAAATGCCAGAGCTAGCAAAAGAGTAAAAAAAAAACACTGCTGGAGATAAAAACTGCTGGAGATCGCAAATGACGGCGGCCTTAAATGCCGGTCCCTGAAAATATTGTCTGACATAAACCGGTCCGTGGGGCAAAAAAGGTTGGGGACCCCTGTGTTAACCAACATCTTGCAATCACGGCAATTACAGTATCACAGCTGAAAGTTAAAAAATAAAGTTACACAGTTTCACTAACCAGTCGACCACCGGGCTACCCGATTAAGAACTATATGAGTAAATTTGACTTGAATTCACTTCCCATCAGTCAATAATACAACCAATAGAATTTCCATCTCATTCAATGCTGCCTCTACACTCCCAATCAAAGCTCCAACTATTAAAGATGTCCATCTATTTGTAATCTATTGGTGTCTTGTGTTATTTGTACCTGCGTGGCACTGTTATAAATGCGTATGGCCGTCGGCTGTTGTCAACGCGAACAATTCCATAATGCTGCAATTCTTGATCAATAGCCCCCCCACCCCCCAAACACCGTCATCAAATGGGATTTAAAGTTCAGGGCATTTCTGGGCAGTTTGTTTGGTGAACAGATTGTTACACGGTTGCCCCATCTATGGTGGTCCATTTAGAGTTTGGTAATAACATTCCAGATTTCTCTGATATTCCCTTCAGCATCTCAAGTAATTCACTGTAATATTGCCATTCACTATTCCTAAGCCAAGTCATTTTAGCTAATCGAAAACTATTGAAATAACTAACACTTGCATTGAAAATGAAACAGAAGCAACAGGTTAATTAACCCAACGAAATAAAAAAACAAAATTAACTCAAACAATGAAAACTAATTGATGCTACACCTTACATTTCTCAAATCTTCTACCTATTCTACAACAGTTCTCATCCATCCATCCATTCATCCATTTTCTGCTCCGCTTATCCTCACAAGAGTCACGGGGCATGCTGGAGCCTATCCCAGCTGTCTCTGGGCAGTATGTGAGGGACACCCTGAATTGGTTGCCAGCCAATCGCAGGGCACGCATAGACATACAACCATCGGCGCTCACACTCACACCTAGGGACAATTTAGAGTGGTCCAGTAATGCATGTTTTTGGAATGTGGGAGGACTTGCTGAAAACCCACCCAGGCACGGTGAGAACATGCAAAGTCCACACAGGAAGGCCGGAGCTGGAATCGAACCCTGCACCTCTGCACTGTGAGGCTGACGTGCTAACAAGTTGACCACCAGGCCTCTAGCAGGTCTCAATAAACACCAATCACACTTGTAATGTCAGTGTAAACCAAATATTACATGACATTATTCCCACACTTTTTCTCACCACCCCAATCTTGCACTCAAACTTCAGAATATCACAACCGTTTCATCTCATCTCAAAATATTTCCCACATTCCTTTTTTCATGTTGTAATGCTTTTATTTCTCATTGTTTCTCTTTGCATCATCAAAGCTGTCACTCGAAACTAAAAAGACATCAAGAGACTCACCTTGTTTTGGGGCTGGGTTAACAAATATGGATCCGATCAAATGATATGGATCCATCCAAATATTTGTTTTTTCACGCAACTATATCTGAAAACTCTCAAGCACACAAAATCTGCTGTGCCCCAAACGAACCTTCTCTTCTGGCCCTTCTCGTCTTGACCATAAAATGTGTCACTTCTGGCATTTAATACAACTCATACAATATATTGTGAAACATAAATCCCATTCCTCACCTTCAGAAATGTCAACAATCTACCCTATTATAGTGGAGGCAGAAATGTATTTTTAAAACAAGGCATTCTGCTCACCTTATTTTTGGGCCCAGTCAAAATGTTGACATTTCTGCGAGGATAGCGTAATAGAAAAAAAAAAAAGAATAGTAATCACACAGCAAGTCCACAGGGTTTCAGCAACCAATTGAAAATTTCTGAAGAAACCTTTGCCTGATTCTTTTGTCTTTAATGCTACTATGCTAAAAGTAACTACGAGATGATTGCATCTTCTCAGTTGGGCTATTTAATGCACAGGTATCAAATTGAAGGTCCAGAGGCCAAATCTGGCCCACCGCATCACTTTATGCAGCCCGTGAAAGCCAATCAAACATGTCAACTTCCATGATGTTGACATAAAATAAAATCTGTACCAAAATTTCTAATTTTCATGTAATAAACAGAGACATTGTCAACAGGCGGCACGGTGGTCGATTGGCTAGCACAGGGGTGCCCATTACGTCGATCCTGATCGACCGGTAGATCTAGGACTCATCCCAATGAGATCCGAAAGGTGTTGAGGAGAAAAAAAAATATATATATATATATATATATTTGTGTGAGTAATATATGCTTTGTGTTAATGCATCCTGCACCCTAATCATCCTATAGTCTCATTTTCCCAAAGAAAGATTTTAAAAACTAAATAAAATAAAGCAGGTAAATCTTTAACCTACAGTAGCGCGTTACTACGTCAGCGGAAGTTGTGAGCGCTCAGCAGTCTGCTCAGCAGTCTGCAATTGCGGCTTGTGATCAGAGCTGTTGCGCTATATCTTTGATTGTCATTATTCTCATTGCTTCGTTTGCAATTCACCAAGGGCACGGGCAAAGAATAGGAATCTAGAGGGCTGATGGAAGCACTTTAAAACGGTACGTGTGAGCTACGATAGTCAAGAGGCTGCAAAAGTGCATCGCTTGCTTCTGTGTTTGGCTTCTCATCGTGGCGCGCGCGCGTACGCGTGTGTGTGTGCGCGCGTGCGTGTGTGTGTGTTCGTGTGTGTGAGTGCGTGCGCGTGCGAGGTAAGGGGCGATCCCGGGAGGTTGGTTGAACGAAAAGTAGATCTTCGGTCCAAAAAGTTTGGGCACCCCTGGGTGAGCACGTCTACCTCACAGTGCAGAGGTGCAGGGTTCGATTCCGGCTCTGGCTTTCCAGTGTGGAGTTTGAATGTTTCCCTGTGCCTATGTGGGTTTCCTCCCACATTCTGAAAACATGCATGGCAGGTTAATGGAACACTCTTAAGTTGTCCCTTGGTCTGATTATGAGTGTGACTTTTTTTTTTGTCTGTGTGTGCGATGTGATTGTCTGGCAAAGAATTCAGGGTGTACCCCGCCTACTGCCTAAAGACAGCTGGGATAGGCTTCAGCACACCCTTGTGAAGATAAGCGGATTAGATCATGGATGGATGAATGGATGGATATCGTAAGCCTTTTCTTCTTACCAACCCCCTCATTAAAGTAACATTAATAGTTGAAGAAACAATTAGTCTTGACTTATTTCTATGGTTTCACAGTCATAACGGCCCTCCAAGGGAAACGTTAACTACAATGTGGCACTAAAAAATTACTTTAAAGACAACCCTGATTTAATGGATGCCAGCAAGCTCGAGTGCAGAGAGGATCCTTATTCTGCTGGGTTGCGGAAGGTCTCATCTCCAGTCCTTGCTATCCTGTATGTTTTCCATCTCTCCTTGCTGCGACACACCTGATTCAAATGGTCAGGATCATTATCTGGCTCCTGCAGAGCTTGCTTATGAATTGATTATTTGAATCAGGTGTGTTGCAGCAGGGAGATGGAAAATATGCAGGAAAGCGGACCTCGAGGACCTGAGTTTGACACCTTTGTATCTGTCCAAAATGCTTTCTACTCTTAAACTGTCTTGGGCGCCCACCTACATGGGGGCGGCTCTGCCTAGACCATGCGACAGTGTGTGACATCAGAGTTTTATCTGAAATCAATTAATATGTGTGCCAAGGGCGTCATAGAGAAGGGAAGCCAAGTGAACGCAAGAGAAAGGTCACAGCAATGTAACGGCCCAAGCTCAAGTCACCTCTCGAATCAAAGAGGCCGAATCAAACAAAAATTGAGCTGTTCCTATTCTCTTCCCTCCCAGCCAAACCGATACTGCAAGGCCGATCCCCAGACGTTTCCTTTGTCCACCACAATGCAGGCTCTTCGCTGGTGCGCATTCAAGATGTCAAGGCTCTGCAGCAGCAGATCCTGGAGGGGAGCAAACTACTTTACAAAATGGAGGCCACCCTCTATTCTTGGAATTCATCACTTGAGTTGAACTATCAGAAGGTAAAACTGAACCTGAAATGCACAACAATTGGTACACTTGAGCATTCCTTACTCCTCCATCCCAAATACTTTCTCCAACTTTTCGTGCACAACCACACGAGGGCCAATGATTTGTAGTCGGTCATAGTAATATGGTGGTAGATCAGGTGACGTGGGTTGACACTTGGCAGATGGGGCCGCGTCCCTTCTAACTTGTGGGTCCCCCCCATGCCCCATAGCAGCCGCTTTTGGCCACCTTTGATCTTCTTCGGTCCCCCTTTGGGCGCCTCCGCTCATCCCACTCTCCACCTGGCGCAGTTTACCAGCTCACCCTCTGGCATGGATGGTGGCTGGTTATCCCATCTCAAACCTTGCTTTGTCCGACTGCATTTTCCAATCAATAGCCATCGCAACGTGAATAACCACAGAGGGATTATATTTTGAATTGCCCTGTTGCACAGTTTTCCTGTATGAAAAGGTACGCATGATAATCAACTCGGTCTCTGTATGTGCAGTATGTGCAATTGTGGTCATGTCAAGCTCCCTTTTCCCTGGTACCCATACTGCACCTACATTATGGCATATAGTGACGATGGAGTGAGTTGAATCTCCTGCTACTACATGCCTGCTACTACTGCTGAAGTGCCGCGGCGAGCTCACAGGTTGAAGCTGCATGGTTGCGTAGCACTAAGCTAGGGGACAGAGCAGAATATTATAAAATAATGATTTTTGAGGGTTGTGAATCGTTTTAAAATCGCCACCTACAGCTGTGATTCTTTAATATTTTTTTCCTGCACTCCTACCTGTTACAAGCTGTCCTTAATGCGCTCTTATCCAACTGAATAAGTTTGCTTACCGAATCTTATTTATTTTAAGGATATGGCAAGGCATTGCCCCATTTAATGCTTTCATTCATCAGAAAGCTTTGTCCTTTTTCGCCATTACATATTTACCACGGTGTCAAAGTCAAGGCCCGGGAGCCGGATCCGGCCCGCCACATCATTTTATGTGGCCCACAAAAGCAGTTCATGTGTCAACTTCTATGATCCTTACTAAAGTCTACCGAAATGTCAAATTGTGATTGTGTGATAAATAACCTTGAAATTTTGCAATCAATTTGTTCGCCTGTTTACACTCACTTGAACAATCATCAAAGAAACAACAAACAAATAGCTGTTTTAAAGACGCGTCACAAGGAAGCAGTGACAGTTTCAATGAAGGTTGAAGTGACAGCCGAAACTGTCAGCTAGGTAAGAGTTTTCTCTTCATCAAAAGACACCATTGTCCTGAAAAAAAAAGAAGCGTTTAAATCCTAATTGGACAAACAGATAGTTGACTTCAATGATTACAAAACTAGTAATCCGTCAATTTCAAAGTAGATAATAAGAATGTGGTTCAGTTTTTCGTGTTTTCTGAAATGTTTCTTAATAGATTTGGGCAACTATTTTAAGAAGGTAAAACAAAGGCAGGTCGAACTCTTGATTTGGATTTGTATTTTTTCATTTATATTGCATATTTGTTTTCAAGTCAACATGTTTATTTTTGTGAAATTGGAGTAAAAAAGAAGACAACAGTTGTGTTATGTTCTCCTTTCGGGGACTCATCAACATGTATGAGTTGGTGATATTCATGGTATGACAAAAAGGTTCGAGGGTACACAAGCCCAAAAAGTATGGGAACCACTGTATTAGAGCCTGGATGTAGACTTTTGGCACTGTATGCATTGGAGGAAGTCCATGATAAATTCAAACTCGTGTCAAGAAATAGTTCTTGCATGTACCACTAGTGTGCTTTCCAATCATTGCATTTTCCACTCTGAAAAAAGAACATTCCAAATAAATAATTAAAAGTCACAAATCGTGGCAGGGGTTAGCTCACTTGGTAAAGCACCTCCCCTCTATGTTGAGGATATTGTATTGTAGCAGATGAGCCTGGTTCGACGTCTTTGCCGAGCAGCTCACTCCTGCATGTAATTCTTTGTGTATTTTCTTTCGATGTCCCATTTATTTTATTCAAAAAGTTAAAAAAACGATCCTTAAAAAAAGCCACAAATTCATATCACATTCCTGCCTATGATGATTGTAAACATTTGACGACTTGTTGTTGAACCGGATGTTGTACTCTCTCCAAAAACAAACAAAAATGACACAGGAAAACAATTTCAGGTTTCAGCTAACTCGTGACCCTGAACAGAATAACTGGTCGAAAATGAATACGTGGATAAATGGGTATATGTAAAGACTTTGACGCGAACAAATCTAAACTAAATAAATGTTTTTTTGAATACATACTTTATTTAGCCTCCAGATTCAGGTTCTGCCAAGGAACTGTTAATCTACACCCAAACCCTGCACCAGATCCTGAACAATGCCAACTCTGTCGTCCAAACGTTATGGAGAGCTGCTCTTCCCAACACAAAGGAATCCAAACAGGTCAGAACAATCCGTTGAGATTCTCAACTCAACTCAACTGTATTTATACAGCACTTTCAAACAGCCATCGCTGCACACAAAGTGCTGTACATGGAGCAACCAACATATACAACACTAAAGCAACAGATCAGTAACAAAGACGGTAGAGAGCACCAAACAGTATAACTAAGATCATAATTTGGGTCATGCTGAGTCAAATGCGAAAGAATACAAGTGAGTTTTGAGGCGGGTTTTAAAGATGGGCAGCAAGGAGGCTTGCCGAACGTTCAATGGGAGGTCATTCCAGAGAGAGGGACCAGCAACGGAAAAGGCTCGATCCGCTCTGAGCCTCCGTTTAGTTCTTGATACTTCTAATAATGTCTGGTCCACAGACCTGAGGCGCCAGGCAGGTGTGTAGGGGCAGATGAACTCAGAGAGGTAAGGTGGCGCGAGGTCATTTAGAGATTTAAAAACAAATAATTGGATCTTGAAAAGAACTCTAAAATGTATAG